GGATGTCTCGCTGTGTGTGTCTCTGCGGATGTCTCGCTGTGTGTCTCTCTGTGGGTGTCTCGCTGTGTGTGTCTCTCTGTGGGTGTCTCGCTGTGTGTGTCTCTCTGTGGGTGTCTCGCTGTGTGTGTGTTTCTGTGGGTGTCTCACTGTGTGTGTGTCTCTGCGGATGTCTCGCTGTGTGTGTGTGTTTGTCTCTGTGGGTGTCTCGCTGTGTAGGTTCCTGTGTTTATCACTGTTTCTCATTGTGTTCAAGTTCTCATTGTCTGTCAGTGTGTTGACCCTTGACCCTGGGGTGCCAGGTACCTAATGGTGTCCTCAGTTGTGGGCTTTTACAGCTCTCCCCTCTTCACTGGGCTGCTGCCCCGCACTCAGGACACAACACTGACGCAGGTACGAGATGACAACCCACGTCCAGCCTGAACTGAAATCGTACCAGTATTCAGATAAAGATGATTATTGTTATTTCTATTATTACTTCCTTGTATTGGGACTTTGGTTGTGAGAGCAACATTTGCCCTAATTATACAGTAATAGCAGATAACCACAGAACCTATTATGAAATGAGAGAAACAGTTCAGCAGTCCTGAAACTAAACCATCACAGCTGCCTCTCCTGTAAACGATGGCCAAGGTGTTGGAGTCCAGATTCTTAAGAGGAAATGTTCCACTGGTGGTCTGTTCCTTTTCTTGAAGAAGTAGAACACAGGGTGTCAAACTCCATTCCTCTAGGACTTCATTTCCTGGTTTTTGTTCCAACCTCAATAGTCAATTTAACAATTAACCTGATTAGACATATCAAGGGTTTTTCTTAAGGTCTTTTACAGTTGATTACACAAGACATTCACTTCATTAAAAGTCCATTTATTACCTCTAAGTCACTTTAAATTGCCTGCTTAGAAGTGTTATAACTGTATAGTTAATTAAGTAAAAAAACCCACTGTGGAGCTGTGAACCATGGTTGGAATGAAAACTCGGTGACACTCCGTGAATGGAGTGGAGCAGTGGGGTGTGACTCAGTGGCACAGTGGGGCTGTAGGATGACCCTCTGTTTTTGTCTTCAGATTATTGGCAACTGTGTCGCTTTGCTGGTCCTAAGCTCTGCACTGCCAGTCTTCTCCAGAACTCTGGGTAAGTTACACTTGTCCCACATAACTCTGTGAAAGTCTCTGTGTTTGTTTGCCTCTTTCTTGAAGTAAATTGGGGTATTAACTTCATCAGTATTTCTGAGTAGCTTGTTCAACACTTCCAAAACTCTGCGTAAAGAGGCGTCTTCTGTTCTCTGTTTTAAATGCATCTCCCCTTAGTTTCCACTTGTGCCTTCTGGGTTGAGTTACACACTTGATTCTGAGGACCCATAAGTCTGCTGTGTTGACTATGTCAGTCTCATTGACAATTTTGGATACTTATATCAGGTCTCCTTGTAGTTTTCTCTGTTCAAGACAAAAAAGGTCCAGTTCCTTCAGCCTGTCAGTGCAGGACACTCCCTTCAGACTAAAGAGACTCAGTTCCTTCAGCCTATCAGTGTAGGACACTTCCTTCAGACTACAGAGAC